ATTCTTGCAGCTGCAACTCCAACTCTTGCGCCAGTTTCGCTTTGTGGGATGGCGGACTCGAAGACGGCGAGTCCATCAGGTTCAACGAGGACAACCTCTGCTTTCCGGAAGACATTTCGATGCCCGAACACCCTGCCTCCAACAGTTCCTCCTTCTTCTTATCCCCGAATGCAGAAGATAGTCCTCCGGACGCACTCGAGGCGTTCCTCTCTCTTTGATGATAAATACCGGCGAAGATGAGGATGTTCAACAGCAACAGAAATACACCGATGGCTATGGTAACCGACAAACCGGTGGTATAGCTTCGGTAGTGACTGGAAGCTAGTTTCCTTAAAAGATTGTTGGGTCCCGGACCCAGATTCGAATGTTGGAGGGTTCTGGAGGTGGTCGCCACGGTGGTTGCGACCGTCGTATTCGGCGTACATTCAGTGGTCGATATCACGCTGGTTACGGAAGACGGCTCGGTCGGCGATGGTACCGGAAGCGGTGGCGCCGGCAACGGAAGCGCCATGGTCTGCGGCCGAACCGCGCCTTCGTACAAACTCGGACTCTCCGCCAGATGATGGTGACGCATGTTGATCTCGTAGCCGGGTCGATGCAGCTGCGGCAACAGATTCAGCCACAGGGACATCTTGTGGCCTCTATAATGCGACCGCATTTCCGGGCTACGACCGGCCTCCAGGTACAGCTGATTTATTGAATCGTACGAATCCCAAAACGGTGGGCTGGTCGGAAGCCCGTCGGATCCCGATGACAGCGGGCTAACACCGTTCGGGTCCCTGAAACATCCCATGTGTACCAACACACGTGCACGTCTCGATCAAACGGTCTTCCACGGACGGAAAATTGTGCTCCGGACCGTGACGCTGAGAGGAGAGGAATGAAAGGCTGAGCGACTGTCGGTAGAAATCGAGGACAAAGGGTCATGTTTGTGGACTGTGTTCGGCTGTTTTATTCAGGGCTTGACTATCTTTATTCAAGCAATCGAAATCATAGATTCGTGCTAGGATAAAATCGGCTCGTTGAATTGGCTAAGCTTTCACTGAATCTTAAAAGTCAAAAGAGAACACTGAATTCGATACTCGATTCATTCCATCTCATTACTTTTGCTATTGCTATAGATTCAAATAATGTAATTGTACCATTTGGGAGAAAATATTAATCTTTTGTATAATAGTGAGCATAGAGAAGTCAAGGGTGCATATTTGTGTGTTATGTAACAGAGAATATTTAAAACGCTACACTTCAGTCTTTATATTAAACGTAGATTAAATTACTGATTTAGATTCATACTGTTAGGAACGACATTAATCTTTTGGGAATAAAGGATTGTAGAGTTATTTTTAATTGCATCCTCTTTCTAAGGACATATTTAGTCTTCTAAATACAAATACATAAATTACATTGAAGAATTGATTTGAAAAAAAGAAAACAATATCTCTTGTCCACTTTTCTCAGTATGATTAATTAATTTGCATGAAACGATAACCATCTCTATTGTTCGATTTGTATAGACGATGAAGGACGAGATACTCGAATGGAAATTGCGTTTCGAAATTGAGTTCGCCGGGCGACTGGGCTTTCTCTTAGCCCAGCAGGTGGTGGCTGCGATATCGCATGGATGCGAACGCAATCGCATTATGTGTTTTCTATCTCCACGCGCTGCACTGGCCTGGATTTTCTCCGTGAAAAACGACCGACCTATCGCGCTCTTGCTTATGAGAATCAAAAAATGTACGACGCGACGCGACGGGGTGAGGAAAGATCGGGAAACATCGATTCTGCTGACCTAAAATTAGAACGAATCTACAGCAAATTATGATTCTCGAAGATGAAATGCCAGCAGAATTGTTAAATCAAGTTTCATAATTATTTTTAATTATAGAATTTTTCATTGAAATGTAATCTTC